GTAGCGATAAGATCTGTTCCAATACGATACTAGTGGTTTGCTGTTATAATTTTTGCATAAGTATTGATGTTAATCAGTAGCCTCCTCTACATTGTTAAACTACCATTGCCGTGTTTAAATATTTGTTTTACTTTACGCGGTTAACGTATGACGTCAGAGAATTGGCAGTGATTAGCTTAATAACTGCGGAGCACAAGTTATCGAACTATTACTATTATTATAATATTACCAAAGAACTTAAATTTTACCAAAAAAATAAATATTTTCGTAAGATACAATTCGAACATTCATAGCAGGTGTCAATAGCGCCACCTATGTGTCAATGCTTTATTAACCACAGTGGCTATTTGATAGTTAACCCATGGTCCTTTTTTGGTATGTAATCTATTGTACGCCTTGTAGTAGCGATTGCACGGCACTCCTCAATATACGTTACAAAAATTCACTGGATTTCTCTGCTTATAAGTCTCCTGGCCCGGATGGCATCTACCCGCCATCTACCCTTGGAAAGGGGTATAGATTTCTTGTTTCCATATTCAATGGATATATGTAGTATGTACATAGGGTCAAAAGGAGGCACATTGGCGTAAAACCTTTATGATGCTCCTAAATGCTTCCGGTGTATGAGCTTGCAATCATTTCTACCAACGTGTTTAGAAAACCTGGAGAATATCAAGCTGAAATCCTTCCACTTCTTTATAAGCCGATTAACTTAAGCCAGCGTGCATACCAGAAAGAAAAGTCCTGCTATACTTCTTTGGATGAGTTTGATGACTGAGTATGTACAGATAAGAATCGAATAAGTATAACCTAGCGACCTTTACGGATATTGAGAGGACTCTCGACAGTCCCGATTTCGGCAGCTGAGGTATTTCACATCGTCGGCGATCAAATGTAGTCCGTATTGAATGTTGTAGACGGAGATAAACATCTCACTTTCAAAGGGGTGGATGATATTGAAAAGCCTCTCATTAGCAGCCTGTCACCGGAAAGAAAGGCATCATTTATACTCCACTTGCGCAACTTATGTTCCGTTATGTTTCGGAATAGCGTAAAATCAAAAATTATGCGTGAGGCCATATGAAGACTTGTGAAAAATAGACGAATAGGCTAGAGCTGGTACGGGTGAAAAATGCATTGGAACATAGCCAATTGTAAAGTGGAGCTCAGCGACGCACAAGGCTTGGCATACTTTCGTTACCTGCTGCCATTGTAAAATATTAATTGCCGGTGACAGGATTAGACTGCTTCTATCACGTACTTTGCGAGTACTTGACTTTTCTGTAAAATGGGCCTAGAGGACGGCGAGACTGTGTCGTCGCATGTATGTATGTTAATATCAGTGATGGGCATACCTAAATACTTTTGTACTTAAAGTACCACTTTGGGTACTAAATACACAAATACTTAGTATTTTGAGATGACTAAATACCCAAGTACTATTTACTTACGTATTTAGGAGCTGCTAAATACCCAAGTACTATTTACTTAGGTATTT